GGGAAAGTGTAGTGCTAGGAATTGATGAAAAAAGACTTAACCCTAATGTTAGTATGCAAATTCAGAAAAAAGTCCAGAAACTCTCAGCCCAGCCAGTGTACCAACACTTTTATAACATATTAAATAAACCACTACCAGAGCTTCCAAGAACAACAAAGAACTTGTTCCTCCAACTGGCTGAAAATGTGGCCCATTCCCTCAACGTCACTTCTTGCTATGTATGTAAAGGAACGACCATGGGTGACAGGTAGCCATAGAAAGCCTGTAAGTTATTACCTTTTGACCCTGTCCCAGACCTAACCTCAGTTCAAAAGGTTCAAACCAACAGTTTCTAGGTTTTAAAAGTCTCAATTATTAGACAATACTGTTTAGCCAGAAAGGGAGCAAGCTTCACTATTCCAGTAGAAAAGCTTAGCTGCTTAGGGCAGCAATTGTATAACAGAACCATAGGCACAGTAACCTAGTGGAGCTCAAATTATACAAAAAAGAACCCCTTCCTAAAATTTCCAAAATTGCAGGATGCTTAAAATCATCCTAAGTACCAAAAAAATTAAACAGTCCCACCTGGGTTATACTGGCTATGTAGACATAAGGCATACATACAACTGCCTAACAGGTAGACAGGTAGCTGTGTCATAGGCATCATTAAGCCCTCTTTCTTCCTATTATCTGTTAAAACCAGTAAGCTATTAAGGTATCCAGTCTACTCTGCTAAGGAAAAAAAAACCTAAAAATAAAGGATTGGACAGATGGTAAGTGGCCACCAGAAAAAATTATTAAGTATTATAAGCCGGCCACATGAGCCAAAAATGGCTCATGGGGATACCAAACCCCTATCTACATGCTCAACCAAATCATCTGGTTGCAGGCTGTTTTAAAAATACTCACTAATAAAACAGGCAAAGCTCTGTCCCTCTTAGCCCGACAAGAAACTCAAATAAGAAATGCAATTTATCAGAACTGGCTGCCCCTAAATTATTTGCTAGTAGCCGAAAAAGAAGTCTGTGAAAAATTCAATCTAACCAACTGCTGTCTGCACATAAATGACCAGAGGCAAGCAGTAAAAGATACTGTGCAAGACATGACCAAACTAGTACACATACCTGTACAGGTGTAGCACGGATTTAACCCTTAGTCCTTATTTAAAGGTTAGTTCTCATCCTTAAAAAAATTCAAAACCCTCATTATAAGTGTTATAATAATAATAGGTGTTTGTTTGTTGCTCCCTTGTCTACTCCCCTTGTTCCTTCAAATAATTAAAGGCTTCATCACTACTGTAGTTAGCCAAAAAAATGACATCACAAGTGTATTATATAAAACATAATCAGTTTCTTCAAAAAATCTGAAAAGTAAAAATAAAAGTGAGACCTCTCACTAATATTATAAAATGGTGAAAGTCTCAAAGAGAGGGATGAGGAGGGAGACCCAGGCATTTAGGATTCCCTCCTGCTCTGTCACTTCCACTGTGTATCTCAATAGAAGAGAGAGCAGGCCAGCTGGCGCCTCCTGAATCTTCTTCCTAAAAACACAGGCTAAGCCACAAAAAAACTTCAGAAGTCACTATTTTTACTTAAAACAAAATCAAACCAGAAACCTTTTCACATGTGAGTCCTAAAACTGTAAACCAAAACCCTTTCATATGTAATTCCTAAAACTGTAAACAAAAAACTTTTCACATGTGAGTCCTAAAACTGTGAACCGGAACCCTTTCATATGTAATTCCTGAAACTGTAAACTGAAACCCTTTCATATGTAATTGTTAAAACTGTAAACTAAAACCCTTTCATATGTAATTCCTAAAACTGTGAACTGAAACCCTTTCATATGTAATTCCTAAAACTGTGAACTGAAACCCTTTCATACGTAAACAGAAATCTTTTCACACGTAAGTCCTAAAACTATAAACTTAAGATTCTTCCACGTGTAGCATCTAAAGTATAAGCCTATATAAAGGCTGAACCTCCCTTTGTTAGACAAGTTTTGCTATTAAGCACGCATGCCAACAAAGCTCCCAGCTGTAATACATTCCTTCCTCCTGCAATAAGCGTCCAAAAGATCCTTTCCCGTAGCCGCTCCTGCTACACCACCATGATCAGCTAGTTTTTGGACTTTTAGTAGAGATGGAGTTTTGCCACCTTGCTCAGGCTGGTCTCAAACTCCTGGGTTGAAAGTGATCTGCCTGCCTTGGCCTCCCAAAGCACTGGGATTACAGGCATGAGCCATCATATCCATCCTGGTTTTTTTTTTTTTTTTTTTTTTAATAAAAAAAAAAGGGACATTTTCTCTCCTGGTCCAGAAAAAAAATCCTAACTTGGGTTCCTTTCCCCTCAATCCTGCTCAGGCTTAGTGTTTCTCATCCAGGGAACCAGGCATGTTCTTCTATGTATGAGTGCTCTGCTCTCTGGGAAGATCTGCAAGAGTGCTCTCCAGAACAACCTCCTGTAAAATACCTTCTTTTCTTTTTCTTTAGGCTACATTGGGAAGAATAAAATACTCTTTTACCCAGACTGTAAAATGCTTATGTTTGGTGGAAAGTCTCTGGTAAAATACAGAAAGTTATAAATAAAAATAAAAATACGGCATGGTAGATCATGTCTGTAATCCCATCGCTTTGGGAGGCCAAGGCAAGATCACCTGAGGTCAGGAGTTTGAGATCACCCTGGCCAACATGGTGAAACCCTGTCTCTACTAAAAATATGCAAATGAGCTAGGCGTGATGGCACGCACCTGTAATCTCAGCTACTAGGGAAGCCAAGGTAGGAGAATCACTTGAAACTGGGAGGTGGAGGTTGCAGTGAGTCGAGATCCCACCATTGCACTCCAGTCTGGGTGACAGAGCAAGACTCTGTCTCAAAAATAAATAAATAAATAAATCTCCCTGCCTCCCCCACCAGATGACTACTGTGTTTTTGAGGAAGGGAATTAAATTATAGCAATAATAGTAAAAACAAAACCTTGTAATTTGTAGTTGCTACATAATAAATTTTGCTGTGTTGTGTGCCGTTTAATAGAAAACCTACCCCCCAGCTCTGCTTAAAATTAACTAAGTCCCTGTAAAACCTATCTTATTTATTCTCCCCACATTCTCAGCAAGGTTCCCAGGCATCTCAAGATTCCTATTTTTCTTGCTAACCAGCAGCAAGGTCACAGAGCACGATAACACCCACAGAATGTACAATGCGTTTCTCAAAATGCTATTTTTCGAATGTAATGTACATCACAAGACATGTTACAAATTAATTAACTGGTCTTCATTCTGACTTCTGTAAACCTATTAGCTGCTACGTCATCCTGGATGTATAAAAATTATCCCATTTTCTTTCTCCTGGGCTCAGACGTGGGACGCTAATCTGCTGAACCGGTGGCCACTTTAATAAAATCCTCCTGTTTCACCCCTTGGTCTCTCCAGTCTCCTGGGTATTCTGTAACATTTTAAGTATACATATACAGATTTATTTTTATTTATTATTTCAAGAGACCATTTTTAGGGTCTCTGTTGCTCAGGCTGGAGGGCAGTGGCAACATCATGGTTCACTGCAGCCTTGAACTCCCAGGCTCAAGTGATCCTTCTGCTCCAGCCTCCTGAGTAACTAGCACTACGGGTGTATACCACCATGCCTGGCTAATTAAAAAATATATATATATTTGTTTTGTAGAGGTGGGTCTCACTATATCGCCCAGACTGGACTCGAACTTCTGGAGTCAAGTGCTCCTCCTGCCTCAGCCTCCCAAAGCACTGGAATTATAGGCATGAGCCACTGCATTCTGCCCATATGCACATTTTTAAATAGATGAGATGCTACTAGGTATATGTGTACCCAGTTCAGTCACTTAACATGATTTGAGCATTTTCTCATGTCATTAAAGTGTCTTCACCAGTATTTTTAATGGTTGCCTAATATTTCATTAGCCTTTATTTAACCATTCCTCTACTGTTGCATATTTAGGTTGATATCCTTCTTTTGAAACTCCATTTAAAGAGTGCTACTATTTGGCAGGTTTCTTCTCTCCTTCCCTTTCAGTACTCTCACCAGGAAAACGTGGAACTGATTCTATGGTTCAAAAATGCAAGATGAGAGCCTTCTCCTTATCTCATGTAAACACTTACTTTACAATAATAGTTTCAAAAATTTTACCCCTAAATGATTACTGAGCTACACAGATCAGAATGCAAGATGACCTAGGTCTCTTTGGGTCATAAACAAGGTGTTAAGAGGGCCCCAATGTCTCCTGATGCTGTTCTTAGAGAAGGAGAATCTCAGGAAATTCCTCCAGACCATATCCAGATCTCATCTCTATTCTAAGAGGTTTTACCACATCACAGCTTGCTCATGGCCTAAGAAACTATTCCCTGTGAAGTGAATGAATAACCCACATTTCAGTAACTACCATAAAACATGATTCTGCATCCACTCAGCGACATTGTCTCATAAGTGCCTGTGATGCAGGGAGCAAGAATCAGCCTCTGCTTGTGACAATGCAACTATAAGGAGCAGGTATCTTTTTCTCAGAGTGAAAACAACAAAACAAGGATGAACAAAAGAAATTGTTGCAGGCTTTTGTTTCCTTCCTTAAACAGATAATGCCTGACTGGAATTTTGCTACTTTTTACTTAAGAATAACTCACTCATTAATAATGTACATTGGGATGGGTGCAGAGGCACACACCTGTAATCCCAGCACTTTTGGAGGCTGAGGTGATTGTTGGGCCCAGGAATTTGTGGTTACAGTGATCTATGTTTGTGCCACTGCACTCCAGCCTAGGCAAAACAGCAAGACCATGTCTCCAAAACAAACAAACAAAATGAGTATCATCAATGTTTATGAGAGAGAGGACTTGGACTGTTCAATGAAATACAGAAGGTTCAATGAAATACAGAACAATACAATAGTGTAAAAGTTAGTGCTTCATACTCCCAGTACTTCATACTCCCACTCACAAACATGATCAAAGCACCCGGGAAAAGGATAGTACATTTGCTGAGAAGATTAAATTCTACCAGTAGCATTTTCTCTTCTGGGTGTGCTCCTTAGTTCCAAGTACTTGACACCATCATCTGCAAATTCTTTTATGACATCTTTTGTGACCTGATAATAAAGATAATGTATACAATATTAATAATGTTTGTGTAAGGGTCCCAATGAATATGCCAAGTGCTACAGCTTCACTTTACTCATTAAATTTGATTTGCAAGAAATGTTGTAAGTTTTCCACATGGTAGAGGTTATCCACTTTGTCACATCCCTGATTGAGACCATGCAGAGCAGCAATATTTCCAATCACTCCCATCACCTCCATTCCCACATTAAATCCCAATCTGCACACTAGCTACACCTTTTATTTCTTTTCCCTTGTAAACATTTCTCTATTTCCTAATATTTATAATAGCAGATTGATACAATAAAGAAATGAGGCAAAACTAAAACCAGTCAGAACCATCTATTATGTGTAGACTGCTAGGAAATGGACATCCAGAAATAAACAGCTAAAATGACTAGGTATTACTAATGTGTTATTTGAAGACATGGCTTAAAGTTTTTATTAAAGTTATTTAGGAATAGGTTATATTATTCAAAAAATTCTGGCAGGGTTAAATTTTCTTGAGAAGTACTTAGGGCAAAGAAAGCAGGTAATAAAAATGAGTAAAACTGTATCCAATTTAGTGCAAATCTCAATAATCCCAAAGTTCCTGAAGGCATGTTTTTCCTTTCCGCCTTCAAACTAAAAAGTCCACAAAAAAAAAAAAAAAAAAAAAAAGACTTAAGTTGAGGAAGCTGTGACAAATTGCCCTAATTAGTCCTTACAGTTGGTATCCTAATCTTAATCTGCTTTAATACATGCACACAGGCATGCGAGTGCAGTGTCCTGGCAAAGCAACAGGGACTGGCTGTTTGTACAGACAGTGCCTAATAGTATGGCACTACCATGGTGAATTCATAGCAATCCAAGTTCTTGGCCTCTTCTTCTTTCTTTTACCACTAAAGACAAAAATGAACTTATTATAACATAAGTGGAATGGGTAGCTTAGTTTCATCCAGAGGTCTAAGGACCCAGATTCTGAGAATACACAGTCGAAGATAATATGTCAGCATTCTAAACATCAAACTCCTGGACCAAGCAAGATATCACTGCTGCCTCCACCAAGGAACATGACACTGCAGCCTCCATGCCATCATTAATGGCATTGGCCCCATGGCACTGCTACTCCAGGAACTCCCTCTTGTTGTCACTGACACCACTAAACTGCGGCCTCATTTTTATATTAATAGGTTGAGGAATCTGGATGCCATCATTGTCCCAGAAGTGAACAGACACAAACTCACCTACCCCAGCTCACATTAGACTAATGCAGAAACCTGTTTGACTGTGAGGAGTTGGGTAAAAGTGAGGGTTTGAAATAGTAGTCCTTTGCAGTGACTGAAGTGACTACTATCCCTCTTACTGAGTGGCTAGCTCTCTGTAAAACCAAATGAACAACGAAAAACTAGCAAGTATGGAGCAAGAGCAAAAGGAACATGATTTACCTAGGTCACAGTGAAGCCTAGAGAATCATCCCTAACCCACATCCAAGAACATTTCCCTGGGGTCTACATCTGTCTTTGCCAGATTTAGCCCTTTCTGTGATGTGCAGTAGGTACTGAAGACACCTCTTTGGGCTTTCCTCTCCTATGCACTGAACTGAGAGTATCTATTCCAATTCTTTTTCCAGACAGAGTACATCACATTTAGTTAAGATCCTACTTACTCAAAAGTCTCTAAGACTGTATAGCTTGAATGGGAAAGAGCATGAGCTCTGCAACCAGATAGAGCCGCCACTTACTCTGTGTGTGTGATCTTTTTTTTTTTTTTCTTTGAGACGGAGTTTCACTCTTGTTTCCCAGGCTGAAGTGCAATAGCACGATCTCGGCTCACCGCAACCTCCACCTCCTGGGTTCAGGCAATTCTCCTGCCTCAGCGTCCTGAGTAGCTGGGATTACAGGCATGCGTCACCATGCCCAGCTAATTTTTGTATTTTTAGTAGAGACAGGGTTTCACTTTGTTGACCAGGACGATCTCAATCTCTTGACCTCGTGATCCACCCGCCTTGGCCTCCCAAAGTGCTGGGATTACAGGCGTGAGCCACCGCGCCCGGCCATATGTGATCTTAAATAAGTTACACCTAACCTCTTTAAGCGTATTTCTTCATCTACAGAAAGGGAACAATAAAAATACCTACTTCTGAAAGTAGTCCTAAGAATAATGTCTGGTACATGTAATAATGAGTATCATTTTTTCAGCCACACTCCAATCCTCTCTTTGAGATTATACCCGGGTCACCTTGACTAGAGTTTTAAGTGATCTCCCTCACACTCAGTTCTACATTTACAAACAATCTCTTAGCTTACTCTCATATACATTTCATTTGTCATATGGGGCACGTCATTGTCACCCCCTGAACCACCTGGTAGCGCTAGGTCAAATGCACAGACTCTTTAACTTCTCACCTCATTTAACAGAGCTTTTCAACTTTCACTTTGAAATGAACGTAGCAATGAACATGGCATTATTACACCTATAGAGTACTAAACTCCTGGAATTTAAATTTCATCATTTTGCTCTGTAACACTCATCAACAAAGTGAGACCAGAGCCCTGTGGTGAACATTCCTAGCAGTGTTCATGTTATCTTTTGAGTGGCTGCTTAGAGAATGCCCTTTTGGTTCCCTATAAATCCTATGTGTGTCTCTAACACAGAGCTTACCACACTATGTTGCAGTATCTGCTTATGGGTCTCTCCAACCTAATTATAAATTCCGCAGGGGCAGAGACTGTGTCAATCTGTCTAAGACTTTAGCACAGTGCCTGGAACATTGTGGGTGCTCAGTCAGTCATTTTTTGCTGAATGAAACTATTAGCGTTAACTCTCCTCTAAAAGGTGATTAATTTACTTACCACTTATCATAAAGATCAGTCTTGACCAAAGAAAAAAATTTTTTCTTGATAAGTCAAAAGTTACCTCTCCCGAAACACAAGTTATACTTTCTTTGCATTTTTTTTTCTACTGGTTGAGAACACTGACACAATTTTGCTTCTCTCCATTTACAAAGAAGACATTTTAAAATGCCATCCTAGACACATCAATGATACAGAAGTCCATCTCCCATGTCAGACTCCAGTATCACGGAGCTTCAGATAAGAGAACATAGTGGTATCCTTTGTAACCTCATAGGGAAGGCAGAATTTCCCTAGGGATTAATCACTTAATCTCTAAGCCCTTCTTGAACTTCTTCATTCTCTATAATGTCCACTCATGCAGTGAAAGTCTCTTATGTAAAACAGACAATGCCTTATCAAGGATATCCCTATCTGTGGTCAAATATTTCATATAGATATGTTATATATAAAAAACAGGACCAAATTTTCTCTCCCATATAATTCTGTATCCTATAAAAGATGCTCCTCCTGGTTCTTTCCTCATATCTTTTATAAGAAACACAGTTTTTCTGTATGAGCTCTTAGGCAAATGTCTTATGTTGGTTTTTCTATGAGTTGCCATAAAAGAGAAAACATTTTTCATCATTCTTAATGAGAGCAAAAATAAAAAGTCAGATGCAATAATGGAAGGAAATTACTGCATAATTTTTAAACCATTCTAAAAATTCCTTCATGTCTTACCATTAGAATATCTTCTGGGCTACTAGTAAGCTGATGAATAGTTTGAAACATCTGGAAACATCTGCAATGTGAATGAAAAGTTTTAACATATTCTAGTCATCAAAACCTTGTCATCCAAAGAAACTCACTAACTGAATGAATTGAATTTTAGGCCAATAGTAAATATATATTTGTATTTACAAAGAACTACAGAACCAATGTTTCAAAAACTACATTGATCTGGAAAGATAATCAAATGACTGAAAATAAAACATTACTGATACTTTTCAGTGGGAAACAACAGTTTCCCTTGTCCAATCCACCCCTGACACCTAGAGATTTAATTTGCCTATATTTTCAAATCTAAAGACCAACCCAGGCTGGGTATGATGGCTCATGCCTGTAATCTCAGAACTTTGAAATGCTAAGGCGAGTGGTTAGCTTGAGCCCAAGAGTTTGAGACCAGCCTGGGCAACACAGGGAAACCTCATCTCTAAAAAAATTCAAAAAACATTAGCCAGTCATGGTGGCATGCATCTGCAGTCCCAGCTACTCAGTATGCTAAGGTGGAAGGACTGCTTGAGCCCCAGAGGTTGAGGCAGCAGCGAGCTGTGGTCACGCCACTGCACTCCAGTCTAGGCAGCAAAGTGAGATCCTGTCTCAAAAAAAAAAAAAGAAAAGAAAAGAAAGAATATCCCAGTATGTTATAACTTCACAAACAACAGAAATCAATAAAAATACTGCCAACAGTCTAACAGCTGGGAAAAAAAATGCTGTATGTTAAGAGATACGCTCTATGCCAGATGCCAACCCTATTTCTGTTAACTATTAAAATCTGAATTCTTACATACTACTTACAATCTCAAAGTACTGATAGAGAAAAAGAAGTACCTCCACAACCTCCCCACACTTACTCTTCTAAAGTTCTTTTCTTTCCCTTGTCAATCACAGTCATCTGATCATGGATATTAAGATCTGGCTTCTGGGCTATTAATTTCTTCATGGTATTAGAACTAATGGATCCATTCAAGTGGGCATGAAGTTCCTAAGATAAGAGATACAACCAGAAAACTTACCAAATATCCAATAGATTCATAGCATCATACCAGCTACCTGATGTTTGTAGTTTGCACCAGGCAAACTGCTTACCAGATTTAGCTATATAACAAAGTTTACAAATTTTGCCTACAAAATTTACTTTTTCTTTTCTTTCTTTCTTTTTTTTTTTTTTTTTTGAGATGGGAATCTCACTCTGTTGCCAAGGCTGGAGTGCACTGGTGCAATATCAGCTCATTGCAACCTCCACCTCCAAGGTTCAAGTGATTATCCTGCCTCAACCAACTAAGTAGCTGGGACTACAGGCATGCCACCACGCCCAGCTAATTTTTGTATTTTTAGTAGAGATGGGGTTTTGCCATGTTGGCCAGGCTGGTCTCAAACTCCTGACCCAAGGTGATCCACCCACCTTGGACTCCCAAAGTGCTGGGATTTCAGGCGTGAGCCACTGTGCCCAGCAAACATTGACTTTCATGAAAAGAAGCAACATAAAAGTAATTACAATTAGCAATCACTCAAGATTTCTGTAGTTGAATTCTCACCACTTTTGGCAATTCAGAATAAAAGTCTGTCTTCCGTAGCTGTTGTTCTTCTGCATCCATTATTTTAGCAGGAAAAAAAAATGGTCCTTCTCCACTCTTATTCTTGGTATGAATAATATGATGTATTTCAGTCAGTAAATTGTATGGTGCTGAATTTCCTTCAGATTGCTTTACTTCCACACATTTTGATAAGATTAGCTGTACATGTAGCTCTGGGTTCAGCTTCACCTATTTTAACAAATGTTAGTATTTTCAGACATTAACATAAAAGCAAAGAAGCAGGATTTTGCTAATTTTTTTCTTTAAAAGGCAAAGCCCCTCTAAAACTAACTTGACTAATTTAAGTGTGTTCCATGAACACATGGAAACTGTTATTCTTAAACGTCATCCTCATAAATATGCGAGAACCCAGAAAGTCAAGGTGGCTACTTTTAAAATCAAAGTAGGAGCTGCAGTAGGAGCGCTAGGAGCTGCCATTTCAAGCTCCCAGACTCAAGGTATCCTCCCACTTCAGCCTCTCAAGTAGCAGGGACCACAGGCATGCACCACAATGTCTGGCTAATTTTAAATAAATTATTTTGTAAAGATGTGTTCTCACCATGTTGCCCAGGCTGGTCTCAAACTCCTGGGGTCAAGTGATCCACTCGCTTGAGCTAGGGTTACAGGAGTGAGCCACTGTGCCTGGCCAGATTTTCAATTTTACTCCAGGATCCTGACTTTAATCTGTGTCCCATTCAAACCATCCTCCAGACTGACCTTTAACTAGCTGTGAGTAAATTTACTGACCTACTGGCTACAATGTTAACCTATGGAAATTAAAAAGCAACTAAGCAATCAAAATCTTTATACATTAAAAAAATTATTTGTTCCATGCCTAAAACACTGCTACCAACAATAGCATGCCATGCCAAATCTAACATTTCTACACTAGTTTTGGTCTGGGCCAGAAGGCAACAAACACTGGGATAAGATCCCCGTTAGTAATATTTCATCAATATTAGCACAGGGCCAGAAGCAAGTATATTGTCTCCCAGGGAGCTTTCTTTATGCTCCCACCTACTCCCCCAAAGGGAACTGATAATAATAAAAATATTTGTTACCGTTTATTACACACTTGCTATGAGCCAGGCACTGTGGTGTCTTAGTTATTTTGTTTAAATCCTTAAAACAACCCATGAAGTATTATTATCCTCATATTATATAATAAATTGAGATTTAAACACCCCTCCACACAATCATAAGGCATCCAAATCACAAATTTTACTCCATTCGCTTTCCTTTTTTTTTTTTTTTTTTTTTTAAGATGAAGTCCTGCCCTGTTGCCAGGCTGGAGTATAATGGTGTAATCTCGACTTCCTGCAACCTCCACCTCCTGGTTCAAGCGATTCCCCTGCCTTAGTCTACCAAGTAGAGACGGGGTTTCACCATATTGGCCAGGATGGTTTTGATCTCCTGACCTCGTGATCCGACCGCCCTGGCCTCCCAAAGTGCTGGGATTACAGGTGTGAGCCATCGCACTTGGCCTACTCCATTCTTTTTCTTCTTGAATTACTTTTCTTGATCTGGTCTTTGCAAAAAAAAAAAAAAAAGCAGTATTTTTGACATCACATCTACATTTTAGGCACTTGTCATTAAACAAATTTGTTTTTGTAGTGCTATGTATTTTTCAGCCTTTCAACTCTTTCTTTTTTCTATGTGGCCCTCAATCAACCCTGAAATACCTCCCAAAGCAGTACTTAATCTCATTTTAGAGATAAGGATCCAATGACCCAGTAGGCATAGGTGAACCCTCCTTCTGATCCCTTCAGAAGCAATTCTCAAACTCCTCAGATGTTCTATCAGACTAATGGCCTTACACTAAACTGACAACTCTGCCACCAAATTTACAGAGAAAACAGAAGCCACCAGGTGTAAATTCCTTCTTTTTCTCTCTGCCCTACCTCACACCTAAGCTTGATTATCCATAATCTTTCTTTTTTTTTTTTTTTTTAACCCCTTCAGGAGTCACAGACAAAGGATTCATTCTCCTACCCCCACAAACTAATATGTGCCCAGGATCCCATTTCTATCTATTCCAAGTTACTCTATTAGTGAATTATCTTTTCATTTTTCTGTTCCTTAAACCTCTCCCTCTCCACTGGCTGATTTTCCTCACAGGACTAACATGTAAGTGCAGTATTTGCTTCCACTTGAAAACAAAACAAAAGACTCTTTATATCCCACATTCTTCTTTAGCCACTGCCCTGACTCTTTTCCTTCTGAGTTAAGCTCTTCCAAAGTATAATTTAGACTGAATTCCTCCATTAACTTACCTCCTGTTCACTGAAACATGGATTCTGCCCTCATTTCTCCACAGAAACTCCTCTCCCTAAGGTCATTACTGAGCTCTTAAACACCAAATCTAAACGTCAGTTTTCAATTACCAAATCTTTATCCTGATCCAAACCTTTTTCTTATTTTTTTTCCACAAGAAAACAATGGCAAATATAAAACTTTTTCTTGAGGCCAGTATCCAAATCTGCTGGACTCCAAAACTCATGCTCTTAACGATTATGCAGAACCACCTGTAGTTAATCATAAAGTTATCTGATTTCCTTTTCTGTTTCAGCCAGTCACCAAATCCCAGTGAACAAATGTCTCTGGAAGTGGTTTTCCATGGATGTCTCCCAGACACTCAGTTTAGAAACTTTGTGATTATTTTGAACTCCAACCTGGATTTACTCCCTAAAAACAAAGTTCAGAATATATCACAGAGAACAATAATCTCTCCTCAGTGACTCCCCCTTCCGGGGACATATCGAACACTACTTTAAAATCCACGGAATTCTCCAAGTCGAAAGGGGTGTGATGAGAGAGGACGAGTGGTTTATACACTGTCTAACGTAAGGCGGGGACTACAAGGGAATCAACTTTGTAATATCTGTGGGGAGACGTTTTCTTATTAAGTAGCTACAAATTATTTGTAAAGGTCGGTTTCTTCAGTTGTACTCTGGCCTTAGTGACTTGTTTTCAGTTTAAATGGGTTCTCTTTTGCAACTTTGAAAAGAGGATTAAATAAATCAGCAACTGTTAGCACCCAAAGAAGCTAACTAATCCTTACCCACTGAAGGTCCCTGGTCCCCACCCTTCTTTGCTCCTACCAGATCCTGTCAGTCCCCACTGACTCACCTCTTGAGATTCCTCTACTAGGAAGACTTGGGCAAGTTTTCCCTTTTAGTTGAAAGCCTTGTAGAAACGTGACAACCCGCCTTTCCTAACACACAAGTCACACGGAAACCAGGACAATCAAAGAAAGGTCAGCCGCGAGCGAACTTAGCACGCCTACTCTCTCCTCAGGTCCGGTTGGCTAGATGCGCTCTTCCCGGAAGTGACGCACACGTGCCGGCGGAAGGGGAAGTCGGGGAGCAGGGGTGGTTTTTCTCCGTACCTAGGTCCGTGAGGTGTGTAGTACATTAACCAAGGGGCGACTCACGACCGTGACAGACTGCCGTTACCGGTGTCTTCTGGCCATGGGTCCCCGGAGCCGCGAGCGTCGGGCAGGAGCGGTACAGAGCACCAACGACAGCAGCGCCCTCAGCAAGCGTTCCCTGGCTGCCCGCGGGTACGTGCAGGACCCCTACATCGCGTTGCTGGTTCCGGGCGCGGGGCGGCGCGCACCGCTCATTCACCGAGGCTACTACGTTCGCGCACGCGCCGTGAGGCACTATGTGCACGCCTTCTTGGAGCAGACTTGGGCGCCGCACGCCGCGCCGCGCGCTCAGATCTTGTCCCTCGGCGCCGGGTTCGACTCGCTCTATTTTCGCTTGAAAACCGCGGGCAGCCTGACCCGTGCTGCAGTCTGGGAGGTGGATTTTCCGGACGTGGCGCGACGCAAAGCAGAGAGGATTGGAGATACGCCAGAGCTGTGCGCGTTGACCGGGCCTTTCCAGAGGGGCAAGCCCGCGTCCGCGTTGTACTTTGAGAGCGTGGACTACCGCATCCTGGGCCTGGACCTGCGGCAGCTCCAGCGAGTGGACGAGGCTCTGGGAGCCGCAGGTCTCGACCCAGCCTCACCCACTCTGCTCCTGGCCGAGGCAGTGCTCACCTACCTCGAGCCGGAGAGTGCTGCGGCCCTCATCGCCTGGGCAGCCCGGCGTTTTTCTAATGCCCTTTTCGTGGTTTATGAGCAGATGAGGTCTCAAGACGCCTTTGGTCAGTTCATGCTGCAGCATTTTCAGCAGCTGAACTGCCCCCTGCATGGCCTGGAGCGCTTTCCTGACGTGGAGGCGCAGAGGCGCCGCTTCCTTCAAGCTGGCTGGACTGCCTGCGGTGCCGTGGATATGAATGAATTCTATCGCTGCTTTCTCCCTGCAGAAGAGCGCCGGCGGGTGGAAAATATTGAACCCTTTGACGAGTTTGAGGAGTGGCATCTGAAGTGCGCCCATTATTTCATTCTGGCAGCTTCCAGGGGAGACACTGTCTCCCACACCCTAGTGTTTCCACCCTCAAAGGCATTTCCTCGTATAAATCCTGCTTTGCCTTCAGGGGTCTTCCCTGCCAGTGTAGTCACTAGCGAGGGCCAGGGCCCAGACCTGAAGAGATATGGCCACGCCTCTGTCCTCTTGAGCCCGGACGTTATTCTCAGTGCAGGAGGATTTGGAGAGCAGGAGGGGCGGCACTGCCGAGTGAGCCAGTTTCACTTGTTCTCAAGAGACTGTGACTCTGAATGGAAAGGCAGCCAAATACTAAGTTGTGGTACTGGAGTTCAGTGGGATGGACGCCTTTATCACACCATGACAAGACTCTCAGAGAGTCAGGTTCTGGTTCTGGGAGGAAGACTCTCCCCAATATGTCCAGCCTTGGGGGTTCTCCAACTTCAGTTTTGTAAGAGTGAGGATAATAGCACTGAGGACCTGAAAGTGACAATAACAAAGGCTGGCCGAAAGGATGATTCCATATTGTCTTGTTGGCGGCATTCAGCAACAGAAGTGTCCTATCAGAATCAGGAATATTTGTTTGTGTATGGGGGTCGAAGTGTGGTGGAACCTGTACTCAGTGACTGGCATTTCCTGCATGTAGAGACAATGACTTGGGTCCAGATCCCAGTGGAGGGAGAAGCACCTGAAGCCCGGCATTCTCACAGTGCCAGCACTTGGCAAGGGGGAGCCCTCATTGCTGGAGGTCTCGGGGCTTCTGAGGAGCCATTGAACTCTGTGTTCTTTCTGAGACCAATCTCTTGTGGATTCCTCTGGGAGTCAGTAGACATCCAGCCTCCCATTACCCCAAGGTACTCCCACACAGCTCATGTGCTCAATGGAAAGCTGCTACTTGTTGGAGGGGTCTGGATTCATTCCTCCTCATTTCCTGGAGTGACTGTTATCAATTTGACCACAGGATTGAGCTCTGAATATCAGATTGACACAACATATGTGCCATGGCCATTAATGTTACACAACCATACTAGCATCCTTCTTCCTGAAGAGCAACAGCTCCTGCTCCTTGGAGGTGGGGGGAACTGCTTTTCCTTTGGTACCTACTTCAATCCCCATACAGTCACATTAGACCTTTCTTCCTTAAGTGCTGGGCAGTAAGGACTGGACTTATTCAGGACCCACTAAAGTACACAAAGTTTTTCACAAATAGAACTACCTTCTAGTTATTGCCACTCCTCCCTTCCCCATCCTTTTTCCTCCTTAGCACTATTCAGTGCAGAAAGTGAAAAAGGTTGGTAAAATACCTACAATCAGTACAGAAAACAATTGAAAACAGTGGCCATGCAGCCTGAGAGTAGGGATGTTTGGATTCATGTATCCAGTTTATTGCTCTTCCTCTGATTTTCTAATCTAAGTCCATCCGTTTATTGAGTTACAGTGGTCTTTAGTAAAGTAAAAAAATTTTCCAATCCCAGGCCTTGTGATTTGAGATGGTACCTTCGAAAAAGTTTCACACAGATTCTTGGTTGAATATAGTTGAAGGAGCGTGGTATTGACCTAATTCTTAATGTAAGAAACCTGAAATGAACACAGTCACAGTTTGATTAAAACATTGTGCTGTTTATTGCAACAGAAAACTCAGCTTTAACAACAGGGAACATTTGTAGGTGTTTGACAACATGCTTTTTATAAATATTTTGCTATTGGTTCCATATTTAGATTTATAAGTTCCAATAAACCAAACTGATGCCTCAATTCATTTTGCACGGGATATAATAATGTTTTGTTCCATATATAATCTTTACCCATCACTGTTAGGTGCTCCTTGAGGGTGACCTTTTGGACTCCATCAAGGAGCTCTCATTGAGTTCCTCCACCAGTCAGAGGCACCAGAAGGGAATGGGGGCAAAAAGAAGAGTGAATTAGTATTTATTCCCATTTCTTCCCCAGCAGGTTTGCAGGTTGGCAGTAGTAGCATTCTTCTGTCAAAGGCTATGGCTCCTGTCATGTAATCCTTGCCTGTAAGATAGAATTCTAATTCCACATCACCCCAGGTTTCTGTAATTGTTCTTTACTTCGCCTCTTCAGGCCTAGGATTTGTGATGGCCAGGCATCCCCAGAATTTTTACACAGGGGGCCAGTTCACTGTCCCTCAGACCGTTGGAGGGCCGCAACATACTGTGCTCCTCTCACTGACCACCAATGAAAGAGGTGCCCCTTCCTGAAGTGCGTTGGAGGGCCGGATAAATGGCCTCAGGGGGCCGCATGCGGCCCCCGGGCCGTAGTTTGGGAACGCCTGGTGATGGCTCTTTGCTAGACTTGAACTGTAATGTCCAGTGTGGTAGCTGTTGGCAGCATGGGACTATTTAAACGAATTAGTAAATTCAGTAGCTTAGTCACCTTAACCACATTTTAAGTGCTTAATAACTACATGTGGCTTTGGCCACTATATTAGACAATGTAGATGTAGAACATTACATTGTTACAGAAATATCTACTGGACACTGCTGACCAGGTATCTTGACTTGGTTTCCTTTAACCCTACTCATCCGCTCATAGTTAGCATCCCATTAAACTCAATTACCTATCCCCTTTAAATGGGAATCTGTTGCCTACTGAGCCATGTAAAATCAATGAAATAGCTATTCATCCTTAAAATTTGAGCCTTAATTTGTCATCTTAATTATGTATACATTGTGAAATTTATATCTCAAAAAATGTAGTGGCTTTGGTGGTACTAAGTGTATCACTTTAGTATTTCTTCTTAGTCCTAGAAACCTTAGTAGTTTTCATTCTACAAATGCCTACATAATTATTATGAACCATCATTGATGACAAATTGCGTCCTTTATTTTCATTAATTTTGCATATAAATGGATATGAAAGGTGATAATATAGAAACCCAGTAGCAAACATAAACCTAATGTATGGAGAGAACAATGTTGGCTCTGTTAGATGAAGGCTCCCGGGGGAGACCAGCTCAAGAAGGGTTGTGGTCTAGGCTAGGCATGATTGCTCACACCTATAATTCCCTCAGTTAGAGAGGCCAAGGCAGAAGGATCACTTGAAGCCAGGAGTTTAAGACCAAACTGGTCAACCAAGCAAGACCCCCATCTCTACCAAAAAAAAAAAAAAAAATTAGGTGGGCACAGTGGCATGTGCTTGTAGTCTCATACTCTGGAGGCTGAGGCAGGAGGATTGCTTTAGCTCAAGAGGTTGAGGCAGTAGTGAGCTGTGATTGTGCCACTGCACTCCAGCCTGGATGACAGAGTGAGACCCTGTTTCTTAAAAAGAAAAAAAGGGTTGTCTAACTTCAGCTTTCCTGAGACTTTTAAGAGCCCTTTCTAGGGAAAGCATTGGTTACGGCTATGAGTGAATCCTGGGAAACAAAGGGCTTATAGCTGGGAAGGCATCTTCCTGCAAGGCAATCAGTGGGCCAGGTAGTAGATAACTGGCAGGGAGTATGATCAGCAGGAAAAAATGACTGTTCTGTATTTCCTGTTTCTAAGTTTACTACAGCCCACCCCAGCTTTCAGAAGCAGATAAAAGCAGAACACTATGATGAGGCCAGGTGTGGTGGCGCATACCTTAATCTCAGCACTTTGGGAGGCCAAGGCTGGCAGATCGCTTAAGCTCAGGAGCTGGAGACCAGCCTGGCCGATATGGTGAAACCCCATTTCTACAACAACAACAAAAAACAAAACAAAACAAAAATCTGGAAAGATTAGCCAGGAATGGTGGCACGTGCCTGTAGTCCTAGCTACTTGGGGGTGCTGAGGTGGGAGAATTACTTGAGCCTGGGAAGTCAAGCTGACATCATGCCCCTGCACTACAACTTGGGTGACAGAGTGAGACTCTGTCTCTAATAACAACAACACTGTAATGAAATAAGTGTTATCAGCTACATAGTAGAGTGTACCAGATTCAAACCTAGATCTAACTCCCAAGCCCAGGTTATGCCTTCCACTATGATGCTGCTTACATCATGCCATCAGCCATCGTTTCATTATTTTTGTGGGGAAAAAGGGGGAAGAGGAACGCCATCTTGAGAATATGGATGTGTGCCAGACCTAAATTAGGACTGCAATAGTGCCTATTGTCTTGAGAGCTGCCCAGTAAGTAGGGTGCCTTATGAGTAACAGGGTTTGTTCTCCCGAGAGAAATTACCCACATTTTCTGTAAGTGATTACTAGATTAAGCATGTTCTCCACCTTAACTGAGAATCATGCTGTTAAGAAATTATTCATCTCTCGAGAGCTACTCATTAAAGCACTTAGAAATATTGTCAGCAATATTTACCCTATGCCTTTGGAGCAGCATTCAGTATAGACTGTGCTGAATCACAGTTTCATTAACAGTAATCTGCACAGTTGGAGATGTGAGCCAGATTGAGAACTATAGCTGGATAATAAATTTTGCTTCTCCATTTTACTTCTGAAATTTTTGTTCTAAAATTCTGATATGGAGCTCTGGAGTAGTTAATGAACAGGTCTCTTCTTTTAGGAATTACTTCTAGGCCAGATAAACTACTTAAGGAAGGAAAGTAATTTCTTATTTTGAATCTGCACTCTGGGTCAGGATTTCAAAAATAGTGTATCATAATAGTGAAGATATAAAAACAGGTTAAGAACAACTGTTGGAGGATATGTTCTTCAAAGGCCAGTGCTGTTGCTTCTTTTTGTACTTTCCGAATTTTATAGCTGAATATTCATTTTTCATCTTTCTGGAGCTTTAAGCCTTCTTAATGATCTTTGGTAGATGGTGTATATCCACTATGTTCCAGGGCCCAGGTATTTTCTTGGTTGTCTTCAGTGATCTCAGACTTTGAAATCCTAGCTTGTTCCGTATGTATTTTGTGATCCCAAATCCAACCTCAAGCAACCCATATTTACTCTGGGACTTATCCCATGTGACATCTTCTGGAAAACAGCCCTGTATGACAGCCCCAAGTGTAATCAACCACTTTTTCCCTGTGCAAGAGATGCCTGTGCTCGTTGGAAAGTTTGGTAAATAAAAGAACTGGTTAATAAGGTGGTTTGTTTTTTGTTTTCTGAGACAGAGTCCTGCTGTGTTGCCCAGGCTGGAGTGCAGTAGCTCAATCTTGGCTCACTGCAACCTCCACCTCCCAGGTTCAAGCAATTTTCCTGTCTCGGCCTCCAGAGTAGCTGGGATTATAGGTGTGTGCACCACCATGCCTGGCTAACTTTTTTTTTAATTTTTATTTTTAGTAGAGATAGGGTTTCATCATGTTGGCCAGGCTGGTCTCAAACTCCTGACCTCAAGTGGTCTGCCCGCCTCAGCCTCCCAAAGTGCTGAGATTACAAGATTACATGCCCAGTCTAGCTGGGTTTTTAATCTTAGGGACCATCAGTAATGTCTCGTTGGACTAAGCCTTTTAACTTCAGTAATGAAGAAGCGGGTGTAAAATAGCATTAAGCTGGCAAGTAAGGTCATGCAACTTGGCTAATTACATTACACTTGATGTTTAAAGAGAGAAGGAGAGTGTGTAGAGCAGGAATTATGAAATTTATAATTGGCTTTAGAGTTGCCTGGGATTTCTTTGGATGTCAGTAATTATGAGTAAACAAGAATTCTGTCATCCCATAGTTTAGTTACAAGACTGCTTACTTATCTGTCTTGGACACTGATAGAAAGCACTTGATTGGGAAGGGGCAGTTCCTTGACTAAGGGAAGAAATTGTGTCTGGTTCACTTTTCTATCACCAAAATAGTAGATGCTCAACAAATACTTGTTGGTTAGAGGTCTACTCATGTACTTAAATAAATTATATTTGAATATTACTATAGTTCTTATCATTTACAAATGGATGTCAATAACGCCTATAACTATTGTATATGTGTGTGGGGTGTAAGCATTAAAATTTTAAAGACCCCACAGTTTAAGAGTCTTTTGTAATAAATTCAACTTCTCTGTCCCGTGTAAAGGTGGTAGACTTTCTGGTGTCATTTTTATCTTTATGGAATAAACCTGAACCTTCTCCCTGATTGCAATTTTCAGCTGATCCTCATTCTCTTTTGCTCAACAATGACCATATTCTTTGGAGATTAAATGAGTTAACTTTGCAGAAGGCTAATCTGAGGGAATAGGAACATACAATTAAATGTGCTTGTGAGCAATTGTACACAGGATCTTCCTAGGATGTGATGGTTCACTGGGCATGACTTGGAGTATAACTCTCAAAGGAAGTTTAATAGAGGAAGAAGAAAAACCTTGCCCTAATTTTTTATGTGAAAAGTCATTTGCCACATGATTGTCACACTAAAGATAGGAAATAAATTGAAATTATAATGGCTTTTAGGACATTACATAGCATTCTGCTTAACTCATTCCCCAGCCTTTGTCCATATTTTTAGGCTTTCCATTAGAACCCCAACCTCTGATTCATATTTAGATGTATTGCTTCAGAAAAAGTTAGCAACAATGATCTTTCTTCTTTATGGATGCCTCAGAACTTAACCAATATTTAAAGAAAATAAATGTTGCCCTTCCTTTTTCTCCCCTCAAAAAAACCTCAGTTAAAAAAGTAGAGTCTAGGCCCCAGTCCATTGAATTTACATTTGAACAGTTGAATCCAGTCAGCAATATTTTTATGTTCAGTGCATAACATATAAATACTCAAAAATATGTATCACATGAATGTTTGGATAACTGATTTAGGCTAAAATCAGTAATAAATGAGTAGTGAATTGTAATGTTGGAATCAGAAATTACCACCAGAAAATCAAAATATAGTT